GAGCTTTTGAACGTTTCAGAGGCCCAGGCTTCTCCAACAGCTGGAGAAATGCTCTGTGGAGGCTTGTGCTGCTGGCTCTTCTGTTGTCCTAAACAAAGAGGAGAGCGAGGAGACGAGTTGCAGTTTCAGAGTGTGTAATTCTGCCACGAGCAGAAACACGGTCTCTGCTGAAGCGTGATGAATGATGCCACAGAAGAAAGAAGCCTTGTCAAATTTAAAAGAGCAAGACTGAACAAATTTAAGGTCTGAAAATAAACTGGAACTCTGTGAGGAGATACATCATTCAAGCTCTGATTCCTGGGCTGCATCTTTCAGATAAAAACCTCAGATTTACTGGTTTGGTGCTGGTGCAGAATGAGGAAACCTGGCTTCACTTTGCTTTTGAGGTCAGTTCTGCTGCACTGAACTTGTGAAATGGCAGAAGTTTCTGTTCTTCTTCTGACATGTTTTAATGAATATGTTCTAAGAATACTTTACAATAATTTACTTGCCACATAAGTGGCAAAGAGCACAAGCTAAGGAATACCTAATCAACCTGCTAGAGTAGTGTGGTATATTTAATGTTTATAAAGAGAGGTTTTACCTGATCATATAAACACATGCCTGTCAGACCTCTCACCTCACTACACACTCTTCAGATTTCTGCTGAGCCTCTGGGGCATTTTTTCCCTGAGTGGTCTTTTGCTTTGCTACAACTGGCTCAAGCTGCAGCCTATCAAAACTGAGACTGGCTGGCTGCTCTTGGTAATCTCTTTCCAAATTCTCATTAATGACTGGATGTTTTTCAGTGGATGCAATTGCTGTGATGACTTACAGCATGTTCCTGCTTGACCCTGCGCAGGGATGGACGTGTCCAGTGCACGCTCTGAGCCAAAACAATCCGAGTCCGTGCTGTGGGACTCGCCAAGGTGAACCCGGCCACGCAGCCGCGCTCAGGATGAATTTCCTGTCACGTCGATTACAACCACTTCTGTAACGTTCAGGCAAGGCTGCTTTGGAATGAAACACTTGTCAGATCCGTTCAGTGGTGGTTAATTCTGATTTTGCGTTTGTTTCAAGGACTGAGTGTCTGGTTCTCTTGGTCACTGAGGATGTAGAACGCTGGAAGGGAATGTTGATTAGCGAAAACATCCGCGTGGCGCAGTGCCAGCTTTTTCTCTGTCATCCTGAAACTCCTGCTTACAGCAGAGATCTCATTATTTCGTGTGAAAAAAAACCAAATAGCATCCAAATACTATTAATCTTAATATAAGCCTGCCGTGCAGGGAGGCAATTAGCTCGGCACACGGAGAACAAGCAAAGGCCTCGGAAAGCAGCGGCTGCTTTTAACTGCTCTTGGTATTTGTTTGGTTTCGTGGGATGGAAGGACCTTTATGCAAAAATCTACAAGTTGCAGTTTCAAAGCATGTCGTGGGCTGTGTGAAAGTGGTTTCCCATAAAACCTGCTTCCAGAATATGGCCAGAACTTGTGGAAATAGCAAAGCCCCCAAGCTGGAAGGGGGTTCCTTGTCTCTGCTGGTGTGTGTATTCCCAAATGGAACAGCCGGCATTCCCTGTCCCAGCTCCGGCTTCCAGTCTCTCAGCTCCTTCCATGAGTCAGCACAGCTCAGGATCAGAGGGATGGAGAGGGTTAAGCATGCAGGGGACAGTTCTCTTCCATGCTCTGTGTTGTGTAGCCAATCCAGTCCAATCAGTTCAATAAGTATTCATCTATTCTAGGAAATCCTTGGTTCCTGGATTACTCCCTTAGTTTCCATTCCTGAATTTGGTAATGGTTTGTGAGCCAGAGTTTTTAATGGTTTGGGGACTGTTGCTGCCTTTTCTTGTAATTTTTTTCTCTATATATAATTTTTTTTAGTTTGTCTTCTGACAGGTAAGATTTAAGCCTTTTGTGTGGACTAGTTAATACTGGCATTAACCTGCTAGTAAGGTGGAATTACTTAGAATTGGATGGAATATGGTTCTCAAGGTGACTTGATTTCTATTTTCTTAGTCATCGTATATGTACAAAAGTCTGTTGTCAAATTAAGAGAGCATTTCTGGTATAGAATAGCTCAGTGTTCTGTGTGGCTCTCAGAGTATCCCTAAAAACTGGGATATTTTCCTAAGCATTTGAAACTGCTGATTGTAAATCTGGAAGCATGTTGGTGCTGTTAATATGCAGAGGAGTCGCTCCTGAGTCTCTGTGTTTGCCATCACGTCACCAGAATAGTGGTGTGGTTTACACTCATCTTGGTGGTTCTTCGTTTGGCAGTGTGTTTTCTCAGAACTGGAAAGGCAAGGCATTGGCAAGATTCCCACTCCCCTAAATAGCTCTGGTGGGAAAGGAGTGTTGTTTGCATTTAATATAATTGTAACAGTCACGCAGATCCTCTTCAGCTCAAAACCCGTCCTGGCTGTCCATGAGACGTGGTGGATCCTGGTCCTCTTGTCAGATTTGGCCTGGAAGTGGAAGGACTTTAGTCTTTCTATGGAGGTTTTTACATAATTGTTTTATGTGGCTCCATAATTGGATCCATAAATCCATAACTGTTTTGCGTGGATCTTGGCAATCCAAGCCATACTTAAAGTGTTTTTTTGGCTTGTGTCTGGAATTTGCACCTTCTGCCCATTTATCAGGCTGGGAGGACTTGCCAGCTGCCCTGCCCTTCTTATTTCTTTCCTATCTCTAGTAAGAATTTTTACAGAAGAAAGAAACACCTGCTGATACTCACTCTTGACAGTTTGGCATTCTTGAGGAAACTCTGCCTGTTCTTTCCTGGCTGGATATCCATAACTCCCTGACAATGGCCTGAATTATGATTTTTTAATTTCATTTTAAGTTTGTCGTCTCGGGATGTCTGAGTGCAGCCTCTTCCACCTTCTGAGAGCATTTGGAATACTTAAGTAACACAGTAGATATTCCTGCCTCCTGCCTCGCAGTGCTGGGGGTGTGCCAGCCCTGAGCAGAGCAGTCTGGGCACCATCTCTCCCTTTCCACAGTGTTGTCTCCCACATTCTCTTGGAGAAGAACACCAGGTGTTGGAATGCTGGGCCTCCATGGCATCCCTCTTTATCTGCTGCTGTTCTCTATTCATGCTAAAAAATCTTGGAGTTTGTTTTTGTTCCTTTGTCTTCATCTCGTGGCTTTCTGGACTTGTTTCCCTCTTTAAGAATTCCCCAAAGAGTGTGACTAGGGATGTGGGTGCGTTCTTATTTTGATCCTGATTCTCTGTCTTTCATTAAAACAAGACAAATCCCAGCAATCCTAACTTAATGTGTCACCTTCCCTTGATTTTTTTTTTGCTTTGTTTTGTTACTGTTCTCTAGCCCTGAGACCCACATCCTGCAGTTCAAGGAACTGGGAGGGCTTTGTTGGGATTATTTCGGTGTGTATCCCGTGTGTGTTAACAGATCTGTTTGGTTATGATGGTGTATTAACTCACAGGGCCTCATAAAGGGTTTTAAGTTTGAGATAGGCTGTTAAAAGACACTCTTATTTGGTGCTGGCAGGGAATTTATGGGATGTATTTACATAGTCCTTGCAGGGAGTTGTTGCGATTGACGGCGGCTCTCACTGTTCTAATTCAAAATAACGAAACACAGAGAGTGTAAACTCCTTGCTTGTAACCCCACAGGAGCTGCTGTGCTTTGATGTTTGGAGAAGGTGAAGAGAATTTCCATCACTGAGAAGGTTAGAAAGTCTGGATTAAAGTTGTAAACTCTTCAGAAAGATGTTTTTTGATTAAACATGTGCCTGGTTTTATTTGATCTTCAGAGATATAATTTTCTGTTCTCTGGTAAACTGTTCTCTTTGCCAAGTAATTAAGAAATGAAAAGTAAGTTGATATTGAAGCTGGCTTTGTGGGAGCCTGGTCTCTGCATGATTTTTATCTTAAGCTCAATGTTTCCAGCATTCTGGAGGTACCACGTGAAATAGGCCGTGTGTAGCTGGGTAAAGACTGGCACATTCCAAAAAAAATCATGTCATATTGGGGTTTTATTCCTTCAGTTTCTGTCTCCTGTTACATGAATGTTTAGAATCACAAAACTTTGAAAATTGCATAGCCATCAGTCTTTAGTTGAGCGTCTGTAGTGGATAACTTAGATGTGTGTTGGGCTGTTCTTAAGTGGCCTCCAAACAGAATTGACCAAGGTATAGTTCTTTCTTCCATTTTCAGGGTCCAAACTCCTCCTCTCTCTCCTTGACAGATGAGTCACTGGTGTCTCTGAGATACAGGGAGATTTCTGCACATGGACAGGGATTTCTCACTGGACTTCTACTGCCCAATACAGACCTTATTTGTGGAAAAACTACTTGCAGGTTTCCTCTTCGGGGATTTTTAACTTACTGTTTTTCTCCCTTTGTAATAAAACTCGGAATCTTTTAGTGTTTCTCTCCAGTGTGGGTGTGTCTTTCCCGGGTTTTCACTCAGTGATCCTGCCTGTGTTTCCGTGCCGGTCTCACGGCACAGCCGCTGGGGTTGTAACGGGAGTCTTCCAGCAGCTCATTGAGGAGACCCTGCTTGACAGCCAAAACTTGGGTTTGATTTAGTGACTGGAAAGGGAAAATTGGATTAATTAAATGTTCAAAATTGATCAAGCTCGAAAGGAGTGAGTGCTTTGGCAGCATTGTAACACCTGTGGTGTGCCTCAGCCTGCGGCCTCTGACAGCGGAGGAACACTGGCAGCAGGTGAGAGTCAGTCTTTGGGTGAGAACACAGGGCTGGAGATCTCTGCAGTGAGACTTGTCTCAAATGCTCTATCAGCCCCCAGTGGAGGGGGAGGCATTTTTCTTGTAAAAAAAGTAAGGCAGGGCAGGGATATTGGTTTAGGGATGCCAGAGGCTGTGGGCAGGCTGTGAATTGTGGTGCAGATGGCAGGGTCTGCAGTCACGCCAGCAGAGCACCAGGGCCTGGCCACCCTCTGTGAGTCCTCACCTGGAAGATATTCCTGGCTTAACTAACAGCACTGTTAATCAACCTGTGCTTAGTCTTTGTTCTCTTGTCTCTTTCCCTCAGGAATACAAACAGAAGCTTGCTCGGGTAACCCAGGTGCGCAAGGAGCTGAAATCCCACATCCAGAGCCTTCCAGACCTGTCGCTGCTGCCCAATGTCACGGGAGGTCTGGCACCTCTGCCGTCTGCTGGGGACCTGTTTTCAACAGACTAGGACAAACCCCATCCCCCAGTCTCCATTATTACCAGCAGAAGTAAGAAGGACTCTGGTGTTGGCTGGAAGCCCAGTCTTCCACGTTCTGCAGTAGGAAGGAACTTGCAGACCCTGCTTCCAACCTCTTGGCTGCTCGTGCTCACCCTCTCTCTGTGTACACTGGCTCATGTGAGGGGAGGAAGAGGAGTGAGTTTTCTGAGCTCTGAAGGGAGTTGGGGTGGTCCGTATGGGCAGACTTCCCCCTGGTCTTTTCCCATGCTCCTTAGTTGCTGTTTGCTCTTAGCACTTGCTGCCCCCACAGAAGTTGTGAGAATCATGTACACACAATGCCTGGGAAGCTTTCAGAGGAAGGTTGACCACAGGGCATCTTCCCTCTGTGCAAATATTGTGTTGTTTCTGAATAAGTCTTGTCTGTTCTGGTTGGGATTCTGAGCCTCGCCTCTGAGAGCAGTGGAGCCTGCAGTGGGGTGTGTGCATGTGGCTCCTGTGCCACGTTAGCGTGAGGGGAGGGCATCTGCTGAGCAATGGGACAGGGAAAGGCTTTTCCTAAACCTGCAGTTCCTCATTCTGCTGGGAGGATATGGTGAGGACAGTTTCCACTCGGCAGGGGCATGAATTGAAATCACAGGCAATAAAAAATAAGCAGCTTTTCTTTGTGAATTAGAGATAGACTCAAGTTACACTGTGCTGAGCAAAGCAGAACTGGATGTGACCTAAGTGGGAGTGGAAGTAAATTTTGTTTTAGCTACCTTAGATTTATACCACATTTTTCCTCTTCATTATACAAATTTGGGTGGTGTTGGAAGCTTTGGTTTAATGAACTGAGAGCCTGGAGTGGTGTGTGGCATCTGCTGGTGCCCCTGTGACAGGCACTGTCTGGTCTGCTCTCAGGATGGTAACATTGAAAATACAATGCTATAAACTCTCTCCATAGCTTTAGTGAAGTTGTCTGATGCACAGAAGTTAAATGTGGTATAAATATTTATTTATATAGAAAATAGACCCATATATATGCACATATCCTGTATGCACATGTACCATGTCCATGCATGTAGATATTAGAAGGATGTACTTAATTTTGTGTCACAGATTATTGTGAGTTGATTTTTATAATCAGGAAAAGTGTAAAAAAAAAAAAAAAAAAAGGAAAACCAACAAATTTTAAAAAGCTCTTAATTCCATTATGTTGCTGGCTAGTGTTTTAGCTGCCAGGGGTGTAGTTACATTTCAGTTTGTGTGTTAGGTCTGACAAGCTGGACTCTGATCACTGAACCATTCCAATTTGGATACAATTCTGTTTAAATTTAGCACCTCTCACTCTGAACAGGTTAAATTTCTGGAGACACTTGGTCTGGTAACGCAGGTTTTGCAGCGCAGAGGCCGAAGTGAGCTGAGGTGCTGTGTCTGTGCCTCCCCGTGCTCTCGAGCTGCTGGTGTCAAGCAAGGCCAGGAAAGGAAACCTGCAGAAACACGAAGTTCTGCTCCACGTTAATTTATTTTGCAGGGTGTTCAGTAGCCCGTTCAGCACTCAGTTACAGCAAACAACACGGCATCTTTTGATCACCAAGTTGTTCAGAAGCTCACGTCCTTTTCCTACTGACAAGTACTTCTTTTAGTCCTTTTTTAACGCTCCTTGCACCCTCACTGCCCAGCCAGGAAATGTGTTTTTCGTTTACAGGAATTTTTCCAGTGGCAGAACTGTCTGTTCCCTGAGTTTGGTTTGACTGTGCAGCCTTTTATGGTCCAGACTTTAGATAAAGCACTGTACATTCTCTCTGCTTTTGCCAAAAATGAAAAACAAACAAAAAAAAATCCCACCGACCCAAACCAAAAGACTCTTTTCCATCCTGGCTCAACTCATGGAGTTACCCCAAGGCTGCTTAAACCAAGTTACTTTGAGCATTGATTGAATGTGTATCCATTATAGGACAAAAAAAGCTGTCAAAAAATGATGTAGACAAATGTGTTGGCATCTCACACTTGTGTTTCAGCAGATCTGTAAGAGAGTTGTCTTTTTTTTTCTTTTTCTTTTTTAATTGAAATGTTTTGATTTTTTTTTTTCCAAATATGCGTGTGCGTTTTATTTTGCTTAATTTAAATGAAGTCTTGTGGGTTTTAATTTTATTTGTTTTACTTTTTGGGCAAAGGGCATCTGGTGAACTGGGTGACATTCTCTCAAGGTTAAACAGATTTCCCCACGGTGTGTCTTTTTTTAACAAAAGCTTAAATCTGTATATTGAATTGACTTAGGAATTAATTTAGACATATAGGCTGCCATTTGACAGCAGTATATTCTGAAATGTCTCATAGATATCTATTTTTGAATAAAGAGGGTGTCATTGAACAGTAGTGGCTTTACTTTTTTTTTTCCTTCAATGCTCTGGTCACCCATTGGGGTTTTGTTTGTGGTTTTTCCCCCCCCTAAAGCCCAGGCAGTGACTTGGGGAAATCCTTGTGGCAGTTTTTGATGCAGGGTAGAAATGTGGGATTCCTGGGAAAAATACAAATGGAAGCTGCACCTGGAAGGCAGGAAGGTGCCTCCCTGCAGGAACTGCTGTTCCAGCTGGGTCAGTGTGATTGAAGCCTTTTGGTTTTGGGGGTCTTCTCATCACCCTGGGAGTTAATTCTGAGGGGGGGGCTTAGGGCTTCTTCAATTAACTGGTCTGCAGCAGCCTCTGTAATTGTTTTGTATGCCTCAGAGAATATCTGCAAAGCGGATTATGTTTTATACTGATTTACAAATCTTCCCTTAAAGGGACTATATTTAGCACTGCTCTCAAAGCCTCGCAGGGGTTGGGCACGTGGCGCTGTGGGAGCAGGAGGGAGCTGGGGCCGTTCCTCCCGCTGAAAACCACCTTCGTGTTGCTGGGGTAGGAACTAGGGTGGGGTTTTCAAAGGCATGAGTGTGGCAAGGTACTGGCTGTCCTTCCTTGCCTTTGAGAACCGGGTTTTTGTTGTTTTTTCAAGGACTGGAACAAAAACATTTGGCTGTTAACGCAGCTGTCTGTGCAGTTCGGTGTCTCAGCGCGCCGCTGCCTTCCCTTCGCTGCGTGCTCGGCAGGGATTGCTGTGTACCCAAAGAACGTTGGCTTACACACCTGCACAAGGTGAGAACTCGCTCCTGGCTCACCAGCAGGTCAGTCTGTGAGATCCCAGGTTGTGATGGTCGTCAGGAAGGGCTGGCAGAGCCTGGGTCAGTTGTGCTGCCGGAATTTTGACGGGGTGAGATGCTGTGGGCTTTGTCCAGCTGCTTATTTGCACTAAATGTTGATATGTTCCTTGGTCAGTGCCAAACTTCATGTGTGTTTATCTTCGGGATTAGATAGGAAAAAGCATAAAATGTGCCTCATGCCATCTGAAAAAAATAAATGACCTGGTAAAGCACTGGGGTGAAATGTCACTGCAGCCACGGCGCCGGTCTGTTGGACTGAGGCCGGGACACATACTTGCCAGTGATTGTGCTGGCTGTGGGGATGTGCCACAGGCATCCACTGCCTCTGTCCTGTCTGCTGGAAGGCAGCAGTAGGTAGGAATTGGTTTCTTTATTTGTATTTTCAGCAGTGGTTTTACATAATGACATTTAGCCAGAAGTTTAATAAAGGCCAGTGGCCCCAGAGGCCTCTGTGGGTGCTGGAGCAGATGAAACTGTGCTTGTGCTTGTTACTGACCTGCCTGGTCTCTGCCATGTGTATCAGTGAAGCAGCTGTCCCAGAAATGATGGGATGTGAGGCTTTTTGTGTGCTGTCCAGGGAATGGAGGAGGAAAGGATGTTTAAAACAGGACACCCAGTTGCCTCATGCAGGGGATTCCAGGGACCAAGCCAGCACAGTGCCAGGATGGGGATGTTTAAGGAAAAGGAGCACTTTGGGCACAGAAATGCCCCCTGAGCACCGAGCAGCCTGAGGGGCTGGTGTTCTACAGCCCATCAAGGCGGAATTCCTGGTTTGCAAATCCATGTCCCTTGGCTCAGGGATGTGATGGGTTGCAACCTGGCTGTCTCGTGGTGGCCAAGTGTCACGCTGCTGCTGACAGGGCAAATCTGTGTGGCAACTAATAGTTAATCATAAACAGCTTTAGGGTCTTGTCACTTCTTTCTGGGAAGAGCTACGTCTTGTTTCTTCTTTCTGGGAAGAGCTAAGTCTTGTTTCTTCTTTCTAGGAAGAGACAAGTGGCTGACTGTCAGCACCTCCCTCTGCTGCCAGCCCCCAGCTGGCTCTCACCAGTCCTTACTGGTTTGTGTGTTGGCCCAGCCCGGTGTGAGGGGCAGGATGGGGATCCCAGGGAGGGATGAAGCAGGGGCTGCTCCCCTGGGGGGCTGTGTGAGGCAGGCACAGAAAGGCTCTTGGAGTTATAACTCCGTGGGATGGCCGTGCTGGAAGAGGCATCTCTCCATGGTGTCTCCTGCACATCCTGTGGCTGTGGAGGAGAATGTGGCTTCCTGCAAGGGCAGAGTGGGACCTCCTGCCACGTGGGATTTACCGGGTCTTTCTCTCACTGTTTGATGGTGTCTCAGGTGTCTCGTTGGCTCAAGGAGGGTAAAAATGTGTCCATGTGTGGAGGGAGGAGGGAGACCTTTGGAAGGGCAGCGGCGTTTGGAAATCCCACAGATTTGTTCTTGTGGAAGCTCTGATTTATGGGAGTTTGTTCTAGTTTCGATCCATCAATGAAGGCAAGTTAAAGGTCCTCAAGTCTAAAATGAGTTTACAGTCAGTTCTTGGCAAGTCAGCATCTCCAGCGAGCCGAGGTGTATCCATAACCTCCCTGACACGTGAATGCTCCTGCCTTCCTTTGGCACTCGGGCTAGTGCTGAATTACAAACCCTCCCACACGGTGGATGCTGGAAATATTTAATTCATAATTTATTGCTCGCACAGCGAGAGTGTCAGAGGGTTTGATGGATGCAACGTGGGACCACATCAGTGACCCGGGATGGGCACAGGGAGGTGGATGCAGCTCAGGACCATGTCAGTGATCCAGGATGGGCGCAGGGGAGCCAACCCCAGTTC